ACAAAAATAGCATAATCTTCTCTCGTGCTTCACTAGAGGACTCATTTTATGTGCTACCCGAAAAGGTCATTGGGTTTCCTTCCATATGCCAGGGGGAAACGCCGAATCGAAGAGTTAGGAGCGGATTTCGATGTTCTTCGTCTTCCTCTCTTGATGTTCTTATTTGCTTCCCATGGCGTTCGTATCCTCCTGCTCACTTCGGAGCTAAGTTGGTCATAACATTGATTTTAGCTAGATAGATAAGCGTAGCTGGATCAAGTATGTTCGTACCGTTGAGCGTGATTTTTGTTCCCTGTCTTGTCATAATTAATAATTAATTGAAGATGTATAATAGCCAAAGTGCTTATGAATCGCTTGCTGATGTCTGTGTTAATTCGGCAATGGCAAGCATACGAAATATGACTGTGGATCAGCTTAATGACCTTCTTTACAATGAAACACGTTTCGATGCATTGATTGACAGTCTTCCTCAGGTATGTTTTTTTGCCACTTCTACTGTTTCTGAGTGCAGTTTAAGTTTGTTGCATCTGCAGAAGGCATACATGAGAAAACATTAACCCACAAATGAATGAATAACCTGAATCAACCATAAAACTTCGTAAAGATTGGTAAGACTAACAAGATTGGGTGCCAAGGAGGCCTTGTTTCGAATATCAATTTGAGGAAAAACTGGACTCCTCTTCAGGTAACAAGATGCACTGCTTGTCAACAAACAGAACTCCTTCAAAAGCGTACAAAGTTGAAACATGTGATAGTCCGATAGATTGCATGTTTAAATCGTCCTAAGTCATGCTTGAACATCACGCTTACAAAAACTTGAATATCTTGTTAGGTTTGTAGTCGTGTGAAAAGGCTTCAGTCCTAAGACAAACCCTCATTCAGTAAGAGCCGATCTTCAGATATCGCTTGGAAACGATTTTGGCTATATTTGCTGTTGGTTCAGTTGAATCTTTTAATCTTTTCTCATCAGATATGAGTTACATAAGAAGTTTCTTTGCAGATTCGATCACTTCCAACGGAACGAGAAGCAGGACTCGCACAGAATAAATCTCTAGCTGAATGGAATCTAGCACAGGAGCCGAAGCTGAACCAATTACGAACACAGGTCTGTTTTATAACCTTTATTTTGAATTTTTAGTCAGATTTTGTTGGGAGCTCTGTTTCCTTCTCATCTCCTTCCAGTGTCCTCAGTTGTTATGCCTTATGCAAGTGTTTATGATTCTCTTTGTTCTAATCCGTATTGAATTAGTTTGCGTGAATCTAATGTCTAGGGTAGAGGATAAAGGATAACGCATCCGTATCTGATCAGCCACCTTTTTGGGATGTGCCACACATTCTTCTGGCTCCCCCCACTTTCTTCACGATTTGGGGCGCGGCCGCGGCAAACCCGGCCGAGTCGATAGTGCCCGCGAACTGTGTGGGTAAATTTGAAAACGCATCACCACCACAGTTCGCGGGCACTATCGACTCGTCCGCGCTCGCCGCGGCCGCGCCCCAAATCGTGAAGAAAGTGGGGGAGCCGACACATTTCTACTTCTATTCACATCGTGGTGGCGTTCTGTGCGATGTGGCCTATACAATGACTTGCGGGGGCCAGCCGATGTACAAGTCAGTGTTTTTATCCTCCCAGACAAGTCTGGTACCAATTACCGACCCTGGAGGGATGGAAGGCTTGGCCGGCTTTGACGGCGCACAATACAGAATTTGATTTCTGGACCCCGCGCGTGGTTAGTAGCACTAGTGCCACTTCACCACTCTCCGCTTCTTATTTTTGGAAAGTGGCTCTCAATCACGTGCTCATCCAGCCCCTTCATCTCTGCGAACTCTCCTTTGCCTGGCTATGTGCTTGCTCTATGCTGTACTGGAGCACTTCAAGCGGCTCAACTTCTTTTACTCTTTTCTTTTTGAATTATTGGTGCATCATTGCTAAATCTAAGAGGCAAGAACCCCTGCGCTCCACCCATGCCACATAACCTCATAACCTTCCGCGTCATTATTTGCTATGTTATTTCCTTGTTAAGACACAGGTGAGGCAATGAGAAGTAGTGCGCCCTATCCGATTTGAGCGTAGATTCCTACTCTAACCAAAAAAATCGTCCCTTTGGGGCCGTAGCAGTAAATTGGAAGTGTTCGCTCCACAAAATTTACGCGTGCTGATTGTTGCAGGTCTTCGAGGGGGCTAGATGTTTCGGCCTCTAGTGCTTTACTCCTTTTATATTACTTCGTAAGCACTGCCTTCGGCATCTATGAAGTTTGCCGCATACACTCCACTACTTTCGCTTTTGTAGTTTTCTTAATAGCTGAAACCTTGACCTAGCAAGCAGTGGATGAGCATTGCATAGAGAGTTCCTCTTTGCAGACACACACCAGTTTTTTTTACTCCCTAGTTGGAATATGTTTTAAAGTTACAAAGTAAGAGCAAAGAGTGAGTGACAACTTTTCATTATTCAGGTTAAAGCTCTCCACGATCAAGCGGCTACACTGCGCTCGGAAGTTGAATCCTTAAAAGCTAAATTAGGTGAAATGAGTGTTTGAGAAGCTTCCAGCAACTGTCCTCATATTGTTCTCAATAAGCTTTTTCAGATGAGGTTTCGTCTTCCAAATCTCTTGATACGACGAGCAACCTGTTGCAGGTCGCAGCCCAGGAAGCGGATGATGAGGCTGAAGTGAGATATTACACTTAGGCTTTTAGCTTACCTTGCTTCCTATATGACGTT